TTGGCACTTCTTTTTTAAAAATCAGTTTTCCAAAACGATTTGCCGGATTTGGACTTTTTGGTGATTTATCAGTCTCACATTGCACTTTGCGAGATTAGATTCAGAACAGTGACATTTGAGTCCGAATTGTAGCATGAAGCCCAAGGGCGCGTCTACATCTACAAACTTTGAAAAAGTACTGGTTGTATGAAATCTCCGCTCGATGGCCGCTCCACGGTCGCTCGAGCGTGAGACTGAGGTCCTCGCTCGAGCGGAACCTCTGTCGCTCGAGGGGTTTGTAAAATGTGAGAACTTCTAGGAGCTTGCATTTCTTGCTCGAGCGAACTCTTGGTCGCTCGAGCGAAAGTACAAGATTACAGAGTAGTCACTCGAGTACAGGTTATGTCGCTTGAGCGGAAGTACAGAATCTGGATTTTCCATATTGCACTCCCAAGCCCCAAACTCGAATTACACTCTTCAAAACTTATCTTTTTGGGCCAAATTTCCGGAGAACATTTAGAAACTTGTAAAATACCATGGTTTGAAGATCATTCTACTAAATCAAGGCCCAAAAACATGCTAATTGACCAAAATTCCAACTTTAAATTTATGAATATGCCATGAACATGACATGCATGAATTACTTTGAGCTAAGGCTTTCCAAAACATGATTAACTAAAGCCAATTGGTAAGAAATGTGATGAATTCTCAAAACCAAGTCAAGATAGACACATGCATGTGGTAATTCTTTGAATTCAAACTCAAAATGCTATGATATATGCATGCATGTATGGAATGACTTAACTTTCTTCAATTCTAGCTCAATTCTCATATGAATTCACCTAACTCACTTGTTTCCATGCATTAATCAATTACATTACAAAGCCAAAGGCTAGAATTCTTACCTTGAGTGATTAAGTGTACTCTAGGTGTTCAATTCCTTAAGCTAGGACGCCAATTCCCAATTCTCATTCTAAATTCTCCCTAACCTTTCTTTGATTTCAACTTCTTTCTTTTCTTACTCTCTCTCACGTTTTCGGTTTCAAGTAAGAGGAAATGAGAGTGCAAAAGTCTATAAGGGACATTGAGGTGGCCTTAAATAGGCTTGATTAAAGAAATTAATTAATTAGTTTACTACTAATCTAATGAGCATTAATTTATTCTAATTTAATCGTTCCAAACCAAATTTTAATTGAACCTACCCGAAAATTCTAAAAATTTCAATTAACACAAAAACCAAGTCAATTTCATGATTGGATGCCGATAGGGCCTTCAATTTTACTAAATAGAACAAAATTAGAGACAGATATTCCTACATAGAACAGATAGAAACTCATATAACACATAACACACGTAATGAATGCAAAAAATTTCACTTTAATTACTTATTAAGCATTCTTAATCATTGATTGCATGTTAATCAGAGGTCAGGGTTGTTATACAAATGATGGTCTGCCGTTCACAAAAACTGGCTTGCCGGCTACTAATGTCTGGTTCTTCTTACTATAACAAAGAAAACAAAGCACAACCAAGGTATTCTCAAGGATTATTTGCACAACTTACCTCTCCTTATTATCAAACAGCTCAAATGGGTGGTAAGTTTGATTCATAAACCATCAATCGATGCAATTTCATTGCATGATGGCCTATGAACCAAAGTGTGCAAGTTCAATAAATGCAACAAATAAAGACCCTCAAACCCTCTCTCTATCATAGATGATCAAGGTAAATGGTTGACAATGGCTCTTGAACCGTTTTCATCACTAATGAGTATGCAATGACTCAAGACTCAAGGGTTTAATTAACGTCCGATTGAACCCAAACCAAGTTATTATCTTGCATAATTTTAGTCCACATTTTATTATTTCATTTTAATTACCTTTCCATTCTTTAATTCATTAAGTCCAAAGGTGAGCTTTAAGTCCTCTAATGGAAAGAAGCATCAAACTAAGAGTTGTTTTAGACATGACAGAAGTGTCATGCCGTTGGTAATGAACCCCCAAAGGGATTAAACCATTAAGCATAAAACCTCAATCTCATGCTTTAAACAAGCAACTAGTTTGAAGCAACTTTCAAAGCAAAGCAAAAGGCAAGAAATGAGGGAGTTTGCAGAAGTGATTAGAGGTCAAAACAAGTATAGAAAGCCATAAACAAATACTATCAACTTAAATAGGATGGTGGCTAAGGCCTAAACCACCAAGCCTATGAGGACAATTACACTACAAGTATGCAATACAAAGCACAAATGCAATGAACCACTAAAAATAGTCCTAAAACCGTGCTAAATAAGTCCTAAAACATGCTGGAATTAAGACAAAAATAGCTAGAACAATAAGCTAAAACATGAAGCTATGTAAGCTAATAAACAAGACACAAGGAGGGGAGGCTACCCCCTCTATTTTTGGACTTCAAAACAACATTTTAGCCATTGAAAAAGCTCTGAAAATCAATGTTTAAAAGCTCAAAAAAAGTGGACAAAGAGATGGGAAACACGAGTGTAAAGGCTTAGGAGACAAGGTGTAAAGAAGGGTGGTTAACCCCTCTACCTTTAATAGCCTTAAATCACAAGCTGCAGCCCATAAAAACAGTCCAAAAATGGTCTAAAAACAATAAGAGACGATGAGGAAAAAGTAGTGTAGAGAAGGCCAAGGTTATACCTCTTGAAGAGGAATAACACTCTGTTTCACAAGCCACAAGTCTTTCACTCTTAAAGGTTGAAATTTGGACTCAATAATCTCAACAAGGAGAGCTCCAATATTGCTTTAGGAAGTGTAGAGAGAGTGCATAGGTTGCAAGATAGAGATAGAGAGAGAATTTCAAGTTTTGGAACTTTTGAAATTTTTTCTAACCTAAAAACATGAGAAAAGGTCAAGTATATATAGAAAAAATAGCCTCTAAGTTGAAAATATCTATACACAAACAGTTGGAGATTTTGGGAGACAACTAGCATAAAATATCTGGGCTTTTCATAAGTGGCCGGTAGGCCAGAAGTGGTGGTCGGCCATCCACAAATAGTGGCCTGCCAGCTATAAAAATCTGCTTCCAGATCCGATTTCAAATAGACATATCTCCTTCATCCGGACTCGGTTTTAGGTAATTGTTGAGTCTAAATTGAAGCTCTGGAAGTCTATTTTCCAATGGTGGTAGCCTCACATCTAAATTCTAAATGTTCAAAGAGATATGCCTATTTTAGTGAAGGTTGCTCATTTCTATCTTAACAGGATTGATGCCTAACTTCAAACAGTCATATCTCCCTCATCCGGACTCGGCTTTAGGAGATTCTTGATTCTAAATTGAAGCCCCGGAAGTCCACTTTCCAATGGAGGTGGTGTCACATCTAAATTCTAAATGTGCAAAGAGATATACCTATTTTAGTTAAGGTTGCTCATTTTTCTCTTAACGGTTTGATGCCCAACTATTTCCCAACTAGTTTTCTTCCCTCTCCTTCAATTTTCTTCAACGCCAAACCTATAAATAAGATGTTTTTTTAAAGATTTTTCAAAGTGTTCACCTCTCTTTCATTTATTTCCACTTTGTCCTTACTCGATTTACCGAAAAGTGTAATTTTTAACGAAATGCGAGCCACGGAACATCGTAGAAACATTTTCAGAATTTTTTAAAAGAGAGGGTTTTGAGGCCTAAAATAGTTTTGGTCCAAAACAGTTTTGGTCAAAATGGGGTGTAAGGTTGGGATTTAGAAGTTCTTCTTGCTAAAGAAATCAAACATTTATTCAACATAACTGTCATCATCGAGTGATCAACCTGAGGCACTCAAGTCTTAAGGGCGATCAAAAATGGGGTGTGTATAGTCTTTTATGAATATAGATCTTCTAAATAAACATTGTAACTACAACACGACCCCTACACATTAATAAGCATTGCAACTGCGACACAACCCCCACACTCAGATTTGTGAAAAAAGTCATATTTATCACATTTCATAAGAAGAATTATAAAAATGACAGTAAAGTTATTATGCACTTGAATTTGATTATAATTTCTTTTTGGACTTTTGTTAATTCTTTCACATGCATATGTACTGCCTTTATATAGGTGAAATTTTAGTTAATAAATGGATCAATAACAAGAGGTTTATATTGATACAAATTGATAATTTAATGTGATAAAATGTAATATTTTTGAAGGGCAAATTACACTAACCTCCCTTGAGGTTCGAAGAAAATACAATTAGCCCATACTTTTGACATAATTACACTAACCTTCCTTTTAGTATAATTATAGCGAACAATGATAGGTAGACACTTAAATAAGCAAACATAAATATACATTTTAATAGGAAAGATGATAACATTATTTTATCATTATTACGACTAATGAATTACTAAGTGTTATGTAAATTAAAAATTAGAGAGATGTTGGTGTTATTATTAAGAGTGTAAAAATGGCCCATGGCTCGTGGACGGCCTGGGATGGGCCCAGCCCATTTAGGCTAGGACCCAAGCCCAGCCCGAGGCCTTGGGCCATCGTTTTGAAGCCTGTCTCAACTCGTGGGCCAGGCTCGCTTGGCCCGACCCATCAGCCCGCTCAAGGCCCACTCAAAAGCCCGGCCCACCTGGTCTGCTCAAGGTCCAGTGTTATTTTTAATGGAAAATAATAAAATTTTGGTGGAAAAAATAAAAAAAATTGTTTAGGCCCATCCAAACCCGCTCAAAGCTCAAGCCTAGGCCCAGGCCCAGGCCCAACGGTCCGTCCAAAGCCTGAATACCCCTGGGCTTGGGCCTATTTTTCTGGCCCCCGGCCCGGCCCGATTTTTGACGAGAGCCTGCAAGGCCCAACATTGGCTTAGCCTGGCTCGGCCAGACTTGAACATAGATGGATCGAGTTGGGCCAAAATTACACTCGTAGTTATTATATAAAAATATAAAATTAATTATATTTTCTTTAAATTTTAAGGGATGCGAGGTATAATTTACTTATTTAATTTGGGTGACGGGAATTATTTTTTGCCACATGGAAACAAATATATATTATATTTTTTTTGCAATTTTTATATTCTCTCTTGCTAGCTTGTCCCCCGTCTCTCTCTCTCTCGCACGAGCGCACGCGTGTTCGCACGCTCATTGCAGCACCGTCTCCATATCCATCATCTCCCTTTCCCTGTCTCATTCAGAGATTCCACCAATGGAGCACCCTGCCCCGGTACTTTCTCTCCGTCTCCCTCGCTGTCTTTTTCCCCAATTCGCTGTAGGATTTTTGTTCTTTGATTTTGATTCTCAGTCTGGTACTCTGTTTGTTGATGGTGATTGAGATTATCTTGGGGCGTATCTTTGAGAGGAAGAACTCGGAATATGATTTTTGTTTCACCGATTCTTAAAACGTTGATTCGAACTTCAGATTGGTAAACACTTTCTCATTTTATTTTATTTTTTGTTCTTTGATTCCGATCCTCAATTTTGTACTCTGCCTGTATGTGTACTTGACAAATTCTAAACAGCCCCATACATCAACTTAGGTACCCTTTTATATGTTGAATTATGTTTTTCTTTTGCATGTGTTAGAAAGGCTTCCTTCATGTGATGTGATGTGGCTTCCAAGCGTGATCACCTTTATTGGGTACTTAACTTCCTGCTGCTTGAAGGATATCTACTGTGTTTATTTTTTAAATTTGTGTAAATCAAGCTCTATTGATTTCTATCGTTTGTGCGTTCAATGTTGAAGACTAATTTGATTTTGTTTCATATTTCATATATTTTTGGAAATCCTGCATCAGAAGGCTAATGCTACTAGTTGGACCAAGCCTTGGTGCAGCGGTTGCAATTGATTTTGCTGTCAATCATTCAGAAATTGTAAGTATTTTCCAAATGCACCATAAATCCAATTGGGGAGGCTTACTAGTTGCATCTCGTTATAAATTAGTATAGTTAGTGCTAGTAATGTATGTTTATGGCTTACCATAGGAGGTTCTGCACTTCTACTGCACACCTTTCAAGTTGAGAAACTAGTTTTGATTGATGCAAGTGTTTACTTAGAAGGCACTGTCAACATGAGGACGTTACCCAAGGCAATAGCCTATGCTGGGGTGCACATGTCTGTCAATAATTGTTTCCTGTTGTTAGATTGTGTGATACTCTGGGATTTGGAGATACTGCCGCGCAGCAGCACCTGCTGCGCGCCCAAAACGGCGTCGTTTTGGACTCCAAGGTTATTTAAAAAATTTCAAACAATTCCAACGGCACCAAGGTTTGATCTCATGACCACGCCCGCGCATGCAGCGCTCTTACCGCCCCGCCACTTTGCATCCTCAATATTATATACGACACATATATTATTTATTATATTATTCAAATGTATACCCAACTGCAGTGTCATCAAAAACAAAAACAAATAAAAAAAAACTATATGTATATAAATCTAATTAGGTGAATGTCATAATCTCACTTTATTTTGTGGTTCTTACTTTTATAGTGAGAGAATAAATAATGTACATTTAATTTATATTTTTTGTGAATTGATGACGCCACTCAATTCGATATATATTTGCACTTATTCATCTAAACAAGAAGCAAAATGACTACTTCAAGAATAAACAATATAATTCATCAAATCAATAATTAAAAAATAATAATTATCAAGTTATGCCAAAAACTACAATATGTCCATCCAAAATAACACTAAAAAAAATTCCAAGGCTCAAACAAAATTCTATAAAACCCATTTGAAATATTCAAAATGTCTCAAAAAAAAAAAAAAAAACCATTATCTAAGAATTACAATAAAAAATAAAATAAAAATACTACATTTCAATTTTGTGGGGGAGGTTGTGAATGACTACAAAATTTTAAAAAAGTTTCATTATCTAAGAAGGACTCGTCCCCCATGGGATTGACCTCTCCTTCATCAAATGACATCCCCTAAAAAATAAAAATGAATAAGTGTGAGAGAATATATTGGAATCAATTTATTTATTTTATTAAAAACAAACAACATTACAAACTTAAATTGCATACCAGAGAAGTTTGTGGATTAACTAATAGTTGTGAAGATAAAGGGGTAGACTGTGGGTAACTTGATGAGCATGCAATGTTAGTATCGTCAAGCTTGAAAAGATTGTGACCATAATTCATCAATTGTGGCCAATAGGGTATCCCAACGTCCTAATTCATAAAATACTGTTAGAAGTAAATATACTATTATAAGAAAATTTAAATATAAAAAATAAAATCTAACCTGTGAGCGGCATAAAGAGGAACTTTGAACAATTAACGTGTTGCTTGATTGGCTAATTTTCTAAACAAATTATAACATTTATCAATACATTGCATGAGTCTAAAAGAAAGCAAAAATTAGAATCAAATTAGGTGAACAATACCTTACTAAGGTCGGTAGGTTGTGAAATAATTTTTTTCCTCTTATTAGTCTTCTCATACCAAGGTTTTAATCTACCCCCGCCCTTCTGTCCACTTTTTTTTTTTTAAGCCTTTAACTCGTGCAAAGTTAGGATTAGAAGTCATATCAATGTTTCTTCCACTACCACAATCACCGAAATCATCAAATGATACCATCATTTTATTCACTTTTGTACACAGTTCCTTAATCCCTTCATCAACCAATTGATAAGCAGGCTTATAAACAGATGCTTGAGTTGCTAGTTTTACCATCCTAGGACAAAGATCCTTGTAACGTGCTGATATCTCTAACTTGGGATCATTCTCATCCACTTCAACTTTTCCTCCTTTAATTTCACCACTCTTGGCATCTAATCTCCATCGACCTAATATGTACCTCTTAGGAATTTCCATAACATTCATTCTATCAAGTGCTTTAATTGCATGACCACTTAAAATTCCAATGTTTTCAAACTTTTGACAAGTGTAACGAATTTTTTGACAAATTTTTTCTCCTCCTAACTCATTGACTTCCATATTACCCTCCACAATATACTCTCTATCATCACCATACAAGCTAATCATGTACCGAACTTCTCCTTCTAACTCATGGCATTGCTTCACTTGACAAAAAAGTGACATATCCAACTCATTATGAAATAAGTCAAAGATAGGAGGGGTGTACAAATTCGCAACTTTGTTCAAAATTGGAGACCTTTTCAATTTCATTCTCGGCAATTGTTGTCTAGAATTATATATAGCTTTTACTTCTTCGTACCGCTTATCTACAACAATCCGATTGAAGTGGGTAAAAAATTGAACAATATTATGATCAGCTTGCAAATACCTCTTTAATGCTGCATTCAGGCTTTCACTAGTTGAGTGCTTCGCATTCCTACAGTGAACAAGTATTTCATGTATACGTGCGTCCATTGCTCTCTTTTTTCCTTTCCCAAGTCTTCTTCATCCACGCATTCTCATACAAGTTGTATTTATCAATCAAAGAATCCCAAGCTTTAATTAACTCGTGTTCATCCTTGCATCCAAAAATACAAGCTTTGAAATCACTACCAAATTTTGAACCACTCTTATACAAGAACCCTAAATGTTTCAAAGCATTTTGCATTAGGTGAAAAGTGCATAATCCATAGAAAACCTTAGGCATGACTTCAGATATTGCCTTAGTAATTGCCTGATCTTGGTCTGTGAAAAAACTGGTAAGCTTTTTCCCTGACATTGCATGCAAGAAGGTTTCAAATAACCACTCAAATGAAGCTGTAGTTTCATCATATAATAATGAGGCACCAAAAATCACTGTCTTTCTAAAGTGGTTAAAACCAGTAAATAAAGCTAGTGGCCGATACTCCTTATTTGTGCGAAATGTTGTGTCGAATGATACGGCATCACCAAAAAGTTCATAATCTGTAATCATCTCATGGTCAGCTCAAAAAATATTAGTAATCATCTCATCCACATCCAATTGAATTGCATAGTAAAAATATGGATTTTCAGCTGCTTGTTGCTGAAAATATCTTGATAAACTCCCAGCTTCTCCGTATTGCAAATTTCATTGTCTTTTTCCACGCAAGTAGCTTTTTTGGTCTTCTCTCGTGAATCCCAAATTTTCTTTTCCCCCTGCTAAGGCACTAATGAGATCGTGTGATGCTTTAAGAGAGATACCAGTGTCATCAGCTATATCAACATTCAAAGCCTAAGCCTGACATAACTTTCTTTGAGATGGTATCAAATGTGTGCACTGAGGAAGATGCAAAGGATGGTTGTGGTTGTCATCAAACTTTTTCACTATCCACTTTGACAAGTCTCGATCCAAAGATACATACATAAATGCATTGCACTTTGTTCTTGTCTCATGTTTAGGATGACTTACAATCATGTACCGTTTATCTTTTTCTTTTTCTCTCTCCTTACAACAAACAAACTTCCTGTTAATCATAGCACCATCTTTTCTACTTTTGCTATGGTAATCTCTTTTAATGCCAAACCCTATAATCCTTCCATATTTATTATAGAATTGATATGCGACTTCCTCTGAATGAAATTCCATGCCAAGACATGGTGTTTTATCTTTGGTCAACTCCCCCATATCTTTGCTACAACCCTCATGTCCATCATTCTCCATTCTAACACCAACAAATCTAAAAGATTGAGAACAAATATAAAAGTATGGTAAGATTTTTTGAGATTGTTATGACATAAAATTTATATAGATGTCACTGTAAAAAAAAAAAAAAAAAATATTAGTCTTTGTTTATAATTTTTATAATTTTTTATTCTACTTATCTAATAAGATGCCAAGTTTTACTATTAAATTTTTTAGAATTATCTTCTCTAATTTTGAAGTAGCATAACATATTCTCTAGAACATAATGCCTTTTGATTAAAAAAAAATGTTTCTAACCTCAAAACAACCTAACATTTAATGGCAGAGAAAAAATTGACAAAGAGCAATCACCAATTGACCAATTGAAAGAATTAAGATTCACCTTTTTTTATTCCACAAAATTCATCTTTACAACAATATGTTGTTGACAAATAAAATGATAAATATAATACGGTATAACAATATAATAGATGTAACATTTTGTTCTTAGTTTTGAAAATATGAAATAAAAGTTAAACAATAAAAAATCTTAAATCTAGTCATTCATTAATTTTAGAATATTTTGTATTAATTTATTTATATATTTTATTGTTCACTTTATTAATGTCAAAAAAAATAAAATAATAAATAAACCGTAGAGACTAAACAAAGCAACGCACAAAGGGGTAACAATAAAAGTAGACACATCTAGCATCTAGTATTAATAACGAAAGCAATAGTTCTAAAGACAAAGAAAAAAAAATGACTCCTAACATTCTACAGGGAAAAAAAACCAACCAATCACAATTACAATATTGAAGAAAATTTTGTGTTTTTTGTTGAGGCCTACCAATATTCCAAGAGCAAATATGTTGTATTCGTACAAACCTGAATAGTATGGTGCAAGCGATAGAGAGTCTCCGACGAAGGTAGATAGATGGTTAGCCGATGAGAACAAACTTTTTAGGTTTTTGAGAAATTGATAGTTAAGAGTTTGTTTGAGATTTTAAAAATAAATTAGAGTAAAATAAATGATAAGATCTTAAATAGTGTAGTTTTGATTTTTAAGATTTTTTTAAAAAACAAAATTCCAAAACGGAACTGGTATAAAATTTCCAAAACGGAACTGTTGCGTACTGTATATTTATAAGGTATAAATAATATATGCTATAAGGTATAAATAATATATGTGTCGTATATAATATTGAGGATGCAAAGTGGCGCGGCGGTAAGAGTGCTGCATGCGCGGGCGTGGTCATGGGATCAAACCTTGGTGCCGTTGGAATTGTTTGAAATTTTTGAAATAACCTTGGAGCCCAAAACGACGCCGTTTTGGGCGCGCAACAGGTGCTGCTGCGCAGTATCCCCAAATCCGATACTCTGGTGCTTTCAGATGGTTACATTACTCTGCGATAATCCTGTGTGATTGCTTTTATGTAATTAGGAATGTAAACTTTATCAATTAATTTTATCGATAGAGGATGACTATCTCATGATTATTTGCTAGCCACATAAACTTGCAATGCTAAGACTTAGGTTGTCAAAAGATATATATATATATATATATATTTCTTTTCCTAATAGGATTTTCCAAGTCATGTAGGATCAGAGAGGGAACAAATCAATGCATTCAAACTTCTTCAAGGCTGCATTTAGGTGGTTTGAACTACATGTGAATGACTTCCTCCCCCTTTCAACCCCCCTAGTGATTGACCAGAGCAGTCTTTTGGAGCCATTTGCTTTAGGTTTCATCCCTAAAAATAGAATTTCTGAATTTTTGTGCCCCTTAGATTTATGGTAAGACCAGGTGATACAAAATAGATCCTATATCGTTAGATTTCTCAGCTTCAATTGTAAATATGCCACACCATACAACCAACAGGAACTTTTACATTTTGTGTCTCTGGTCTATCTGAGCATGAAAGATAATGTTGCCTTTATTATTACTTAGTGCATGACAAGTCGCTGTAACATGAGTTAGGATTGACTGCTATAACAAGAAAAAGAAAGGCCTCGTAATTTATCATGGCCTTGCAAAATCTAGCTCTATTTTCAGTCTGTAGCTCTCAAGTATACACCAAAGTGAGTTAGGATTGACTGCTAGATATCATGCATAATAGTGGTGAAAATCTTTGTAATTTAGATACTACATTCTTTGATGATTTTCCCGAATATAGTTATTTTGTCCTACACTAAAACATACCATCCATTTTATCTACATCTTTATTGTCACGTATGACTATCCATATGGTACACTTTAGCAGTGCCAACTAAAATATCAAACTTTTAGCAAAGATATGGCATTTCATGACCTAGAAACACATTTTAGACTGCTATTTCCCCTGAAACCAGTGGTAGAATAGAATAGAAAAAATAAAAAACATAAGCATATCGCTGAGTTTGAAAAATCTCTCTCTCTCTCTCTCTCTGTGGTGACAGTCAAGGTGATCAAATATTTCTTCTCATTGAGGCAAGAATTTTAAGATGCTATTGAAAAATAATAAATAAGCACTCTGAATGGAAAAAAAAAGAAGGAAAACAAAAGCAATTAGATGGAGTTTCTTTTTTAAATAATTTTTTGTTTGGTAAGATACTTAGTTTTTAAGCTCTCTACATATGGCACTTTTTTGTTGCAATCCAACAATTATTCATCAGCACTAATATGATCATGTAAGCTTGTTTCAATGTTTGTTATCTTTTTGAACATGTTATTCACCACAAAAAAAATTTTTTTTTTTTGGACATATCATATACTTGCATACTATATTGTTTCTCACGAACATGTTTATTTGTTGAAGAGCATCCCGCTACGGTTATATGCAACTTTTTTGGCCTTCAATGGCTTACCATTTGGTACCTACTTAGATTGGATTAATGTAAGTGTTTTCTATAATAGTTAGTACCAGAAAATATAATACTGTGTTGAAACGTTTACAGTTGATTTTTTTCTTTGGATCTCATTCTCTTTCTGCGTGCTACCAGGTGGGTCATCTACATTGCCTATTGCCTTGGTGGGAGGATGTTACTGTGACTTTTATGAATAGTGGAGGTTATAATGTGTGCTCCCAGATAAAACATGTAAGTTAGAAATTGTTTTGCTATTCTAACCAAGAACTATTGATTGTCTTGTTCAAAAAATATAATTGTGGTTGGTAGTTGTGTATATTTAGGCTATGTTTAAATGGATCGTGTTTGTTGGTGCAGCCTTGAGTTGCAATTTTTATATTATTCCTTGCAGAGAAAATATCTTAGACATATATGTGGAAGGCATTGAAATTTGAAATGAGTATGTGGGAAGCCCTTGATTAAGTGTTCCACACTGCCTTCTTTCATTTCTTTATTATTTGCATAACCAATTAGCCATTTTGATATTCATTTTCTTTTGAAACAGAATTCTAACTTAAAGTTGGGCAATGACTGAAATTTGTTTGCTAAATCTATTTCAAATATATGATTATGTGCTTTAAAGAATGTAATTTTGTTAGGGTACTCGTTTTTTGTCACATTCAGAGGTTGTAATTTGACTGACAGAAACATGCATATGACATACATCATGTTTAGGATTTGAGGTTTTTTTAGGTTTATAATTTTTAAGTTTAGGGTTTAGGGTTTAGGTTTTGGGTTTTTAGGATTTAGGGTTGAGGATCAAGGATTAGGGTTTTAGGGTTTAGGTTTTGGATTTTTAGGGTGTAGGGGTGAGAGTGTAGGTTTTAGGGTTGGGGTTTTAGGGTTAGGGTTAGGGTTAGGTTTATGGTTCAAGGGTTAGGGGTTAGGGTATAAGGTTTAGGGTTTAGAGTTTAGTGGTTAGGTTTAGGGTTTAGGGTTTAGGGTTTAGGTTTTTAGAGTTTAGAGTTTATGGTTTTGGGTTTAGGGTTGGAATGCTTTAATTTTTTTTAAACATCTAACCTGATGAGTGGACTTCGGATTTATAATTATTTTTTGGACGGGGCTTGAGACCTAATGTTAGGATTGAGCTAGACTTGGACAGATATACAATTTCCTTATTATGTAATACCGTTCCACCCAGAAATTGCCCGACCTGACATTTGTTCACCCTTACTTGTCATGCCATTACCACATGCATGCATGATTAGGACTTCATATATTGTTGACATGTGGCACTAGATGCCATCTCAAGTTGAACTTCCATTAGATGCTATCAATTTCTTACGCTTACAAACTCTACTTGAGTTTTGCCTAATCCATGTAGAGAGGACGCTTTGCATGGATCTTGGAATTAGTCAAGATGCATCTAAGCTGGTTCAGACATCCGGTCATCAAATGTATAAGATGAAATTTGAAATTTATTATTTTTAAATTGTATGTTTCAATTTTTATATAGTAATAGTGAGTTAGTAATGGTGGAGAAAGCGGTGTGGTGTTATCTATGGCACTGATAACAATGGTGGTGAAGATAAATGGATAGTGGTTGTGGTGATGGTGAAAGAGCAATGTTAATGTAATGATGATGGTTATTATAGTGGTAGTTATAGTAATGGTGGCAATGGTTGTAGTGATGGTGGTAATGGCAATGGCAATGGCAATTGTAGTAGTGGAGTGGTGGTAGTAAAATGATAGTGGTATTTATGACAATAATGACAATGGTGATGAGCATGGTGATAGTAGGTGGTGGCAATTATATGATGGTGATGGTGATGGTGATGGTGATAGTGATATTGATAGTAGTCGCAGTAGCAGCGGCGGTGGCGGTGGCGGTGGCATGATGGTGATGGATGTAGTGGTGGGTGATAGTAATAGTGGCGATGGTGGTATTAAATTTATAATAGTATATATTGACGCTTATGTTTAGTTTCACTCAGAATTAAGTAAGTCTCATATGATTTAATTTTTTTTTTTTTAACTTTTACCCTACATTTTAAGAGGTGTTTAAATTTTTTAGTGATATCAATTGTGATTATCAAATGTGCTTATTTGATAATGACTTAATACATTCAATTTTAAGTGCTGAATCAGGCTATCAAACACCCCTAAGTTATGAACTAAATTATTGTGATATTTAACAAATTAGAAAGTGTTGCTGGTTTCACTTTGTAGGATTTGCTTTTCGAAAAATTGATTTTTTATTTTTATTTTTCGTATTTTTTTGTTTTCATTGATTTTTTTAATATTTTAAACAATTTAAAAATTTTTTAGATACACATAACGCAAATACACTTAAAAAGTATAATATTTGTGATTTTTTTTTAAAATTCACTAAATATAAAAAATTATAAAAAAATATAAAAATTCAGTACATTAACATATTCTTGTATATTTATTAATTTTAAAAAATATTTTTTTATAAATATTTTATTTTTTAGATACATCGAAGTAAGGTGCATCTGAAAAAGTAAAAAATTACTTAAAAATTTTAAAATATTTACTAAAGATAAAAAAAAGAAGTAAACAAAAACTTAATTTTCAAAAAATTGAAAACAAACACAATGATTTATTTTTTTGAAAATGCTATGAATATTAATGTATTTATTAACAATCTTACGAATAAATTCACAAGTTAATGTGGGTCTTTTAACTTGTGATAGTTGATCTTATCAAAACATGTGAGTGTTAGTAAATATGTTAATATCATTAACATTGTTGCATTTTTTTAATTCAACATTTGAAAGTGAGATGCCTACACCTTTTTATCATGTGTATTAGTAAAATTTTTCTTATTGGTGTTAAAAAATTGGAGGTAAAAAATTGGAGGTTGCATCCCATCTTAAAAAAAAAAAAAAAGGTTGCAATTTTAATTCTATCAATGAAGTATTCAATGTACCAAAAAGATTGCATAGGAAAATAACAAACCTAAAAATGGGAAATTATAACATAAAAACTATACATTTCGTCCAAAAAATTGAAATATTTCATCTTAGTGAGATGAAATCATGAAATTTAATCCAAATGACATTTTTGCGTAAAATTTAAAAAATACCAAAACTATAAATTTCATCCCATAAATAAAGAAATTTCATTCCAATACCAAATTTTGGAGTAAACTTTTGAAATTTCATCCAATTAATATTTTTTCATAAAATTAAAAAGTAAAAAAAAAAAAACCATAGTTCTGTTAAAACTGGGATTTAAAATGAGAAATTTTAACTCAAAAATGTAAATTTCATCTAATCGACAATTTTGCATAACATTCAACTAATTGAGAAAATTTTTAATTTTGACAAAATTAAGAAAATCTTTAGTTTTTGGAAACTGTGAAAATTTCATAGCTAAAATGGAGAGATTTTAACCCAAAAAGGGTAAAATTTATCTCATAAACTAAGAAATTTCATCTAGAAAATAAACTGACAAATTGATAATTTTCCATAAAATTTAAGAAATTGAGAACTTTCTCAAGTAAACTAACAAATTGTAAATCTCATCCTAATAATTGAGAAATTTTCTGTCCAAACCCAAAACTGAACATTCAGGATAAGATTGTGAATTTTATTAAAGAATTTTCAATTTTAAAAATTAATAAAATTTTCATTTTGCAATTTTGTAGTTTGCAATAAAAAATAATCTTATAGATTTATTTAGTGCTATTTTACAGTCCAGCTTGAGCCCCACCCGGCCAAGTCGAGACCCGGATAAGAGATAAGGGTGAGAAAAATGAAAGATATATGGGGGGAGAGGAGATGGAATAAAACACAATAACAGACTTGGGTTTGGGTTTGGGTTTGAGTTTGGGTTTGGGTGAGGTGTACACTGGAGAGAGAGAGGCCATGTCGATGTCTGCTTCACTTTCCTTCCTTCAAAGTGCTTGCGCGTATTCGCAGCAGAAGCTTTACCTCCGTGCCAAGTTGGAGTGTTTAGGGTCCTCGTCCTCCTACCAGCCGCTGATTGTTGAAGCCAAGGCTAGAACTAGAAGAGAAGACAGAGCTGCCCGCCACTCTCGCCTCAGAAAGAAGGTATCCCCCCTTCCCACATTTTATTTCAAATCTCTTCCTTGTTAAAAGGGTATGATGTTGGAATTGTCAGTAACATTTATATGAGACAAACAAGACTACCATTACCATTTGTTTTCTGAATACGTGCTCTTGGAAGTCTACAACGATCCCTGTTCTTGCAAACCAAACACTAGGGTTTTACTGTTAACCCTTCAGATTAAAATAGTGCAGACAAAGAAATTAGGACAAATCCAAACGGATAATACTTGCCACTAGTCCTGAGATAAAATAATCCTGGATTATTTGGTTTGAAATGACGTGTATTTGACTACCTTCACATTTTTAACCAAAGAATGGTCTAGTAATCTATTGGACATGGAGTCCTCAATCCCATGAAATAAACGCCCTAAGGGTCTGTTTGATTGAGTGGATTATAGTATAGGATTGGAATTATTAATCCATGGAAATAGAATGTCTATTGTTTGGTTGCAATTTTTGCTATCAGGATTGGATTCTGATAGACATTCTATTTAACAAAACTTTATTTTATTTTTAGTCTTACAACTAATAATGCAAAACAAACATATAATTGGGATTATATATTTTCATATCCATTGCAAAACAAATGTGGACAAGAGAGAATTATTTATGAAACTAATCCAGTTGGATAACCAATCTTACACTAATCCCATAAATTGTTAATCTTCTCACTACTAATCATGCTAATCAAATAGGGCCTTATATTCTAAAGTTTAATGTCAGGAAAAACATAAGTTTTTCTTGGGGCTTAACATCTCCACTTATTGCATCCTCTATTACATTTTATCGGGGACAATTTTGCACATTTATAATATGTTAGGTCTTTCCCTTCCCTAACATTTTCATTTATGGTGATCATATCACTTGTTTTTATTGTTGCATCTATAGGTGATCAAATCATCTTAACTTATTCTAATTTATTTTTAGATGCTACTCTTACCATTTATTTGTATTCATGTCTAATTCTATCTTTTTTAGTCGTACCACTCATCTATTTAAGTTTTCTTATGTTAACTAGACACATTTTATGAATGTATTGTTTCGTAGTTGCTCTATATCAAGTTTCGTACAACATTGTTGGCCTTACAGTAGTTCTATAAATTTTTTCCCTTTCATTTATTTTGGTATTCATTAATCACATAATATGCTAGATCTATGAAGCATGGGTATTTAGAAAAATATGCCGTACCCTTGCCGGGTACTTACCGGCATATAGTACCTCGTATGGTACTTCTAGATACGTACCGGATATACGAAATACCTACTCAAATTTTTTCTTTTTAACTTTTGGCTTACCCAGACGTACCTAGTATATACCCAAACCGTACCCTACCTCAGTTAAAACAGTATTTTCTTCTACTAAAGAGATAAAATTCCTTTTATTAGATTTTTTT